GGGGTGGCGGGACGCTGTTTTAAGAAGACAACTCCCCAGGGATTAATTACTCTTGTGGCTCGCCTAATTAAGGTGTAAACATAGTAGTAACGTCTTGGCAAAGGAGGCTCCCCGGCAGCACATTGCTCATAGCAACAACCAGCACATCAAATATGTATTTAATCTAAGTATAGTGTAGCGACCACGCGAGATGAACACGTTTACCCAGAGCTGCAAAGCCCAGGGATCGATATGAGCGCTTTCTTTGCGTACTCCCTGGCTGCTCTCTTTGTGTGCGTCTGTGTGGGTCGAGGTGGGATGAGCGCGAGCTTTCGGGTTACTTTGAATCACGGCGTGAACGAAAGGTTGTGAAAACACCGGCGATGAGTCGCGTCTTTAAAAGTCGCCTCTCGGCAGCGCTCATTAAAGTTGCTCCTGATGTTTTCTCATCTAATCACACATCAAATGCTGTTCCCAACATCTATTCTCTGCAATACGCTGGTACCTTTATGAGTGTCACAGTGTCGATGGTTAACAATGTTCTTCTGGAACTGGTGGAAAAGAAGGGAGGCTTGTTATATGGGGAATTGGTTCACCGTGATGCTCAAAACACCGTTTTGTATAATGCACTTTATTGTTACGTGTAATGTGTAACGTCACACTATTCATTTCATCCTGATCTGAGTGTTTTTTCATCACCAGTTTGTCTTTCTGAGGCGTTAAAGGCGTTTCCCTCCAGGTCTGTTACTGAATAACATGCGTTCAACTCTTCCACGCCCGACTAATGGTCTCTTTTCTGCTCTAACTAGGATTTGAATAAACTGCAGATGATACAAGTGCTGACTGTGGCCAGAAAACGAGAATACATTAATCCGCTTTCAAAGTCCCTTTATTTGCTGTTATTTTTATAATATGCTTTAAAGTACTGCTCTTTTCTTTTTATCTTTTAATAACTTCAGGGACCAGTACCTGAATAAACCCTGTGCTTCTGGTGCTCGTAGGATATTTATGTTCACATCTCTACATTATTTGGCAGGTGGGCTGTTCTCTGGGCCACGACTAATACCTGTGTGGTTTTCACTGCTTCACCTCTGAGCAGCAAATTCAATACGGAGACATACTGTGTCAGGATAGTAATTCTATGATGGCATCAGACGAGGTCAGCAGGAAAACCGGTCCTTTATTGTTTTAGACACCTTTATACTTGTAAAGGGACGGAGGAGGTTTGAACCTGGTGGTGGCGCTGTGGACTAAAGTCAAGAGGAGTAAAAGCCGTCAACCGCAGGACCGGAAACAATCACCGAGGAGGAAAGTCTCTGTCCTCGTTGTGTGATCGAGGTGAGATTTTCACGTGTTATTTCTCATTATATCATCCTTCTGCTTGTAGTTTTAGTAACACGTCCTTCGTTTCTGATGACTTCCTGTGGTTGAGTCTTTATTACATTTTTCCAACTTTCATTGTGTTTCAGAAAAGGGAAATTTTTATGGCTAATTTCTTTTTTTTTTCAGCGTTGCTACTTCAATCCTTTTTTCGTAGTAGTGTAGGAATTCCACGTGTAAGAAGTTGTTGTCTGACAGATGTTAACTTATGAGTCCTCGTCGACCGTGTGCCGGAAAATTTCAACAATGTGAGATTGGAACATACTGTTCGACAGAAATATCAGATGCAACATTTCATTCTTTTTCATTCGTAGGAAGATATTGTTCTCTTTTTCATTAGGTGAGACATTTTACAGTGAAAAGCATCCATTTGAAGCTGAGATATTGGATGACATCTCAATATGCAACATTCATGACTGAGCTGGCAATGATTTATTCACGCTGTATCCTCAGCTGACACGTGTTTTCCATCTGAAAGCAGCACCATGATGTAGCGACGCTGAACCGGATCAGCACCACGGACAGCTCCTTCAGTCTTGAGTGGCTGCAATGATACACTACAACCCCGACACCCCCCCCCTTCAGTGACCTTCATTACAACCTCCCCTCTCAAGTGTGAGCTTATTATGAGACAATGGGCCCACTTACCACCTCTTATACACTAGGGGCAAAACGATCAGACTTCCCAGTCATCAAACCTCCTTTTGTGGTTGTTTTGTGCCATTTTGTTGCTCCTCTGTGTCTCTTTGGGGTCGTTTTGTGTCTCTTTGGGGTCGTTTTGTGTCTCTTTGGGGTTGGCGTGTTTCCTCTTTGTGGTCACTTTGTGTCCCTTGCTGGTTGATTTGCATCTCTTGGCCTTTTGCGTCGTCTTTCAGTGTCCCTTGTGGTTGTTTTAGTCATTGAGTGTCTTGAAGTCATTTTCTGTCTCTTTGATCTTGTTTTGTATCTCTTTGTGGTTGTTTTGCACCTTTTGCAAAGATGTTGGGGATCTATTTGTGGTGTCCTTTTTACTTTGCAGCGGTGTTGTGTCTCTTTGTTGTCCTTTCGTGTTGTTCGTTTTGAGCCGAGCCTGGTTGGCATTAGTCTCCTTGAGGAACATTTTGTAGGTTTAGGTTTTGTAGGACACTTTGGAGCCCATGTCCATTCGGCCTCTTATAATTCGTCCATACAGTCATACAAAGTTCACACTTTTTGAAACCAACAAAAAAGGGTTGCAAGCTTAAAATGCACAACTGTGCTGAACTAATCGCTAATCTGTGTGTGTGTGCTCCTCGCCGTCTCTTGGGGGGTCATTATTCTTTATCTGCAACAAAGCGGTGGGTTGCCCCCCCCACCCCGTGCCTCTGAATGTACACCCGCCTCTTTTAAATGACTGCAGGCATCCCCTCAACACGGACCACGATGAGGATTCTCATGTTAACCTCCATGCAAAGACCTACGGTACATAAGCGCAGCGAGCAGGCCAACACAACCCCCTCAATATGAGCATTGTTCCAATGTGTTAGAGCAAACCTCAGGTCAACGCCACAAAGCCAAACAACGTAACTCTATCCCTGAGGTGGTTAATGGCGCTCAGACAAAAGCTAAATTATGGGATTATGGACCCTGCGGTACTCCTGGGATGCCAAATCCATTTTTAACCCCCCCCCCCCCCCCCCCCTTCCCCTCCCCACACTAAAGCAGACCCTCTCCCTCCACTCCTGGATCCGGACTAATGGCTGCGTCATTCATGTCACACCTAACGAGGGGGGGTCGTCAGTCAGAGAGACCCCCGGTAATCCGGTCACAGCCACCGGGCGGTTTGGAATGAAGTTTCTGGCATTCGAGGTCGCGGGATGCATAAAACTTCAGGTGTCTACGTCACCCCCCCTCTTCCCCCCCCCCACACACACACACACACACACACACACCACCCGCCCACCTCTATCTGAACACGGAGCCTGCGAAGCGCTCTTTTGTTCAGTAGCGCTCCGCTGCTGGAGAGGTGAGCACCGTCCCGGCGCTCCTCCACCCCGCTGCCTGCGGAAGACGCACGACCGAGACCCGCCGTGCACGTCACCGTGCCTCGTGCACAGAGCCCACCGCTGTGCTCCGTTTCGGCTTTTTTTTTTTTTCTTCTCTTCTCTTCTCTTCTCTTCTCTTCTCTCCTCCTCCTGTTGGATGCCGGAGCTCCGCTCTGCCGCGGCGCTCCTCCACCTGCACCGCGTCAGACCCGCGGCTCGCGCGGCTCCACGTCCCCGCGGATCGGACCTCACTTGCAGGTGAGGCGGAGCGCTGCAAGTTGCTCTTTCTTGGCTCTATTTGATAAAGCTGCGGTGAATAAGAAGGTGGCTTCCAGCTCACGGCAGCTGGTGGAGAATCGGAGGTGAGCTTCTCGGTTGTGTTCAAAGACGAAGATCTATGGAATCCAAGGTGGATAACACACCAGAGTAGATATTGTGAGGTTACTATTCATTTACTCCTGAAAACACTTTATTTTGCTGCAGTTGATGATTGCATGAGATTGATTTTTACGTTGTGGAAAATCGTTTCGCGTTGTCAGAAATGTATTTTGATTTCATAACAATTCATTTTATTCACAATGATGATGATGCTCTTGCAACCAAATATGTCCCACCACCCAACTAGAGGAAAAGGGTTTATAGGAAACAAACACCCAGTTAAGCTGCGTCTGATAACACGTAGTACTGTTAACAAGTAATACATGTGGCAGGCTGAAGTATCAGCTCCCACATACTGACGATTCTCAGCCTAACAAGGTCACCGCAAGATTTGGATCTGTGTGTTCACCTCTTATTGGACATCTGTGGGACGCCGTCGGACCCTGCTTGTACGTCTGCTCGTACAGTGTATGGCCGGGTGTCACCCCCCCCTCCCCTCCCCTCCCACCGCCGGGAAATTAAGCAGAGATTCTGCCAAGTAGTTAGAGCAGTGAAATGGTTACCAGTCTCTCTCTCTCTTAATTCATGTGCCGTGTAGTCTGGCCTATACGCTGAGCTGTCTTTGGCAGAATCGATCCCCGCGCTCCCCTGCTACATAACCCCCCCCCAGCCCCCTGTAGCCCCACACCCGGCCATCCTGTATTTGGCCTTGGTCTTGGCAGAACAATCGGTAACAGTCAGGGCCGAGCCAGAAACCTGCAGACGGGCTGATGGCTGTTGGATCAGGAGCTTCTGATTCCCAACCCACACAGAGACACAACCAGCTCCATTCTGTTGCTCGCTGGAGATGAAATGTTCCCTTCTCACCAGCTGAGCGGCCATGCGTGGGCCTTAATTTATGTGTGTGTGTGTGTGAGTGAGTTGCCGGTCACCTTCTCTGCCGCTTCCTGATGTTGTGTCTGTGAACTATCCGGTCCTGTTGCTCCAACAGAAATAGTTCCACATTTAACTCGTCTCCTACGTAGTCCTGCAGCCTCCTGTTCCTCTCGGCCTCTTGCCCTCTCATGCATATTGCAAGAAATCCCCATGTTTGTTGCTCCGATCGTCTTACACCCCCCCCCCCCCCCCTCCATTCAGTCCAGTCTGTTCGCATTCTCTCGTCTCGCTCCGGTTGAACTCCATCACTCCGGCAGAGGTCCGCCGATACCGCCATTGTTCTCAGAAGAGGTGTTCCTTTCTGCGCTATTACCAGTTCACTGGCCCCCATTTTCCCATCCTGTGTGTGATGAGGCATCACAATGGGCGAACAATGTGCCTTCGGAGCGAGGTTCACTGCTTCCCGATGGCTCGACTCCAACCGCGGCCAAGGCCAAGAGCAGCGCGGGGACCTCCGCAGAAAGACCGGCTGGAAGGAGCATGAAAGAAAGCGAGTGCGGGGGAGGTAACAGGCTGGAATGATTTTATACAATTATCTGCTCTTTGCACAAGGTTGTGTTTTCACATATTTCAATAATGCGCCTTTTCCGCGCGGCCGCTTGTAGCGGAAGATGCGTGATGGCCGAGAATTCCGATTTTTGCACTTGAGCAGTATCCGAGCGAGGGAATGGGAAACTTTGATTTTTTTTTTTTATTCTTCAAAAGCAAGACATTAATATTCCTACAATGAACCTTCTGCCACGCTCAAAAGGAGCACAGCCGCCCTGGCTCGACATGAAACGAGGGCGAGCGGCCCCGGCGACTGCTCAGTATCGCCACGGAGGATCGCTCGGGCTTCAGCGATGCTCTCTAGATGGTCGGACGGCCTCGAGCGGCCAATCCCACGGTTGGGAGGCGGGTGGCGCTGTGCGAGTCGGCCGCGCTGCTCCGGCTAATGGCTTTAATCCCTGGAACTCCACAGTGGAAGACGAGATATTGACTGTGCCACGTTTCTTTTGTGTGGTGTTGCTTGAAAGTTCAGCGCCGTCGCTCACTGTGTGCTCGAAAAAACACACGCGGCTTCGTTAGACTGCAGCGGGAAGAAGGGACGCTGCTGGATTCCTTCAGAGGGAGACTAATTGGTGGAGTTAGACAACCCTGATCCAATTAAGCAGAGAAAACACTCACGCACAGCTCTGATTGTATACGGATGATCGAGCTTTGTACCGTCTGCTCAGCTTCACATGTGCCTGTGCACACGCGTGAGGCAGCGGAGCCGCCCGTGGACCCGAAGTTCATCTTCTGGACTCGGTTCCACTTGGCACCTCCGCCCCCCCGCCGCCGGTCACCGTGGGCCGTTTCCTCGGCTTAACGAAGGCTGTACCTTTGCCTAGCGGAGGACGTCAATCTTCCTGATCGACAGTCCTCCCCCTGCCCCCGTCCCCCCCGTCCCCCGTCCCCAGCGTCCTCCTTCCACCCTGACACCGGCGAGCAGATGGAGCGGGGGCCTAAGTGAGGCCGCCGCTCGCTTTGCCACAGCTAATTATTTAATAGTCTGGCGTTAGCCGCATTGAGCTAGCCAGGGCGCCTCGAGCCGAGCAAATGAGCAGCGCAGCTGGGCCATCATGGCCTGGTGTCAGGGCAAACAAAGCCCGGGGGGCTCGGAGCAAGGGGGGGGGGGGGGGCGAAAAAGAAGGTAGTTTACCACAATCTCTCCAGACGCACCTCTTGAATATTCATCAAAGCCAAAGCAAGCTCTGCACCTCTCTCCCACCAAATGTATTATTTAAAGGAAGCATTTTTCCCATTAAAAACTATCAATAATTAACGACATCTGGTAACAGTTTTTGTCTGCTGAATTAATGGCAGGGACACAGTGGACGATCTTCCAGTGATTGGGGGCAGGAAGGGGGGGGGGGGGGGGGGGGCGCCTTTCTACCTCTATCTGCTGCCGGGCCTTCCTTTGTCTGACCACTTGGTTGTGACGCCGGGCTTTGTCAAAGTCAGGCGGCATGTCAGTAGAACTGAATTGGATTAGCCCCCCCCCCATCATTCACCTCCTGAAACCCCCCCCCGGAGGAGCAGCAAACAGCTGTTCGTCATGACGTGACGTGAGTGCTTCCCTGTCTGCGTGAATCACAAAAATCTCCCCATAGGGCCCTTTGTGTGGTTTCAGAAACCGGACAGCTTCGCCTTGCCCCCCCCCCCACCTCAGTTTCATTTTCCGCTCATTATATGAGGTAAACGTCGGCTTCAGACGCCCACAGATGGCCCGGCGCTCTCCGCCCGCGTGCCTCGGTTTCCCGCCGTGTGTCCAGTTTTTATTTGCAGAGGTACAAAAAGGGAATCCTGTGGGGAGAAACAGGAGCCTGTAAGGGCTCAAGAAGATGGAGACATAAGCGGGCAGAGAGGAGAGCGCCGTAAGCCATTGCTGCTGCGAGGGATTTGCGTGCGTCTTTTCTCCAAATCACCTCGCCCGCCCGGAGTCAACACGCCGGGGCTTTGTGTGAAGCCGAGGCACCGGCGTGATACTTCTGGAGATCCGGCTCTGGGGCGACCGGGGCGAATCGCATCAACTCAAGGGTGGGAATATCAAAGTTATTAATTCATTTCATCCAGGTCCTGTGCACCCTGGATCGGGGCTGATCTGCTTCCGTCGTATTTCATGTGATGCCTTTGTTTTTTTTGTTTTTGGAGCGGTGGAAGAAATATCTGCTGTGGCTTTTATTTCCTATACCGATCATAAAAATGGTTCCTCTGATCCCTCCGTCTGTCTTCCTGGCGGCGCCGAGCGGTGAATCACAATTCTCTTACATCTTGAGGTATTGTTGAGGTAATGCCGCCTTCCAATGTTTTCACATCACTGGATTACGTTTCGTGATCACGCTGCTTCTTACGTTCTAGTAGAAAAAACGGTGCAGGTCAGTCGTATTTAGTAGTAATTGAGGAAAAGTCCGGATCACCAAAGACATTTGGATTCGTCCCCCGGGGACCACGAATGTGCTGTGAGCTGTGGACGTGTTTCCCTGGAGCCGCGCACAACTTTTTCCATGAGCAAATAACATTTCCCCCGCAGTAAATTAGAACTCCATTATGGTCCTCAGGAAACATATTTGCTCCTGGATTAAGGTTGCGGTTCAAAGCAGTTTGAAACAGAAGTACTGCGTTTACACCGCGGAGGCAAAGCAAATCTCCCGGATTGTTCTTCTTCGTCCTTCAGTCCCCCGACCTCGTCCGTTGCAGACTGAACTCGTTTGCATGTTATTCCTAAATGGTCAAAAGCAAACGTAATCCAGGACAAAGTGATTTTTCAGAGACGGACGAAGAATGACTGACCTTTGGCCCTCAAAAAGAGCATTTACTAAATTGTGTCGAAATGCGGCCTTTATGTGACATCTGGATTTGTGCGACATCCTTCCCCTTTATTCTAAACTTTTGGACTTTCTATTCCTCTGTCTCTTTACAATAAGCAGCAGTGATATTATTTTGTGGTAACCGGACTTTAATTCCTCACTTGCTATCAAAAATTTGCTATCAAATTGATTCTAAGGTGGAATCTGCGACGCTGGTGGCGGGTCAGACGTCCTGCCGGTGGAGTCGCCGGCCGTTCTGCAGTCGGTAATGACATTGCCAATGCGCCCCAAAGTGGTTTTTACATGAAGCTACAAAGCGTGCTGCCTTCAAAGCCCAGAGGCTTTACAGCCGACGGTCGAAGTGTGTGTGTGTGTGTGTGTGTGCAGGGTGAGCGACTAAGGACGGGGCGCTTTTTACCCCGTGCCAAATGTGTGAACATTTTTGAAAAAGGAAGCACACTTATTTTGCTAGTTTTTCTCGCATTGTTCATGAGAAAATTGCATTTTGAAAGCCTGACTCGTATTCAAATGGCCTTCGCTGCGTTTAGTCAACGCAAAGCAAGCACAGGAAGCAAAAAGAGGAGGTCGCTTTCACATTCTGATGGCCCAGGCTCCTAAACAATGACCATATTTTGGCGCTTTGTGCAGAAGCTCCACAGACATCTCCCCCCCTTCGCCGCGCCGCTCTGCCAAATTCCGAATGAAGCGCCCGAGTGGTTACCAGCTCCGTCTTGTAATTAAGTGTCACGCTGCAGAATTAATGGAGAGGGAGAGTAAGTTGTGGGAAATGCAGAAAAACGCAGCGGCGTCGCTGCGGTCGGTCGATCAGGAGTCAGTCGGGAATGATGCTAATCAACCGCCGTGTTGTGCGTGAGCGTGTTCTCTGCTTGTGTGTGTGTGTGTGTTCATGTGCACATCTGCTTTTCGCCCTGATTCTGCATCCTCTCTCGCCTCACCGGACATCTCCATTAGGTTAAAACCAGACAGAACATATGTCCCCTTGTGTCTCTGCACCTCCCCTCTCTGATTAGAGGACTTCACAAATGTTCACTCTACACTTCAATGCGAACCTGCCTGATCTAATTCATGTTGTGGTCAAAGCAGTGACTGTTGGACGGCGGAAAACACATTTTAAAATATCTCCTTGTTATTTATATAATTTATTTTCGGCTGCCTTTCAAGTTGAAGGATTTCAAGCTAGAAGAGATTAAAAAAAGATATTCTTCACAAACAAAGTCCCCTGACATTTTGTTATTTAAAAAGTTTGTGGGTTAGTAAATGAACAGGATTCTTTTCCACCAGCTCTCCCGAGCAGAGGACCCCCCCCCCCCCTGTGTGGGGGCGGGCGATGATGGAGAACTCGGTTAGATAAATTGTGCCGGACTGGACGGGAGCCGGACCCCCTTCGCCCTGAGGTGCAGCCGATCGGATCCCGGTCGCCGAAAAGACGGCATCAAACCGCGGTGAATTACTGCTGTTTGAATGTAGCCGCTTAACCGCTCTCAGAACCGATGCTGGAACTGATGCCTGAGACCAGGCCTGTGTGGGTGTCTCTCTCTCGCCCCTCTCTCTCTCTCTGCGGGGGGGGGGGGGGGGGGCACTGCCATCCCCGAAGGTCCAGCTCTGTGCTCGGATTGATCGGGGACTGCTGTCTGTGATGGATTGTTCCGCGCACTGGACTATTGGCTTAGCCGTTGATCACTGACCACTGTCTGTCAGCGCGTGGGGGGCAGGGGGGGGGGGGGGGGGGCGGGATGGGGGGACCGGTGGACGGTGCGACTGCGTTCGCTGATAGATAATAATCACTGCTGGACGCTTCTTCTCCGTCTTAATGCTTGAGGCGTAATTGCAGCAAAAGGCCTCTGTGCTGATGCCCATTTCCTCGCTTCAACGTACGCGCCGACGTGTGCTCTCGAAACGCCCGCTCGCTCGCCATGTGCACCAAAAACACGAACCCCCCCCCCACACTGAAAATCACAAGGCTCTTGCAGGGCTGCAGACACCTCAGGCGAATGAGGCCAGGTCCTAATTGGGCCTCGTCTTAGCGTGACCTTCATTGTTTTGACAGAGGGAGACACTCCGAAGCTGAGGTTATCACCCCCCCCCCCCCCCCCCACCCTCCACCCCGCTCAGCAGTGGACGAGGGGAGTGCGAACTCGCCGCCTCCCGGAGC